TATTTATTTACATTTTAATTAACAAAATACACTGAAGATGGTCCCAAAAGTAGACCGAAATAAATGTAATATAAATAATTTTTTATAAAAATTAAAATATTAAATTACTTAAATACTTAACACAAATTTATAAGTGTGATTTTTATTTAAAAAACATTTTTAATTTTTATGTGATAAATAGTTAAATAAGCTTCTATTATTTATTTTTTTAATTTGTACAATTGAAAATGCTCGTATATTTCTTTTAACCGATGTATGGCCATTAAAACTGACCACCGATTTATTACTTAAAACGGGCAGCAAAATTTCAATGTTACTTTAAGAGATGCAAATGCAGTCAAACTTCCATAACTCGAATTTCTCTATAATTCGAATAAAAACATTATGACGTGCCAATAGGAATATGGGAAAGTGCATTCTATAAGTCGAATTTCTGTTATAGATATGAATGCATTTTTGTGTTGGGGGAAGTCCCTCTTTCCAAAACAAGTGTTTAATTTTTTCTTTCTTATGTTGCTTCTGGTATTTGTGCAATTGGTATTCCTTCCGCCGAATATGACATCTAAATTGCAACCGCTTGATCAGGGAGTAATTCAAATTTTAAAGTGTGATTATCGTAAATCAAAAAACTAATCACTAATTTGTATGAAATAACGTTCATATAAATAATATTCCATTTCAATATTGGTCCTCATACACAATCGTATAGTATCTTTTAAAGAATGCATATAGCGTAGTTTATAAAAAGTATCTATTCAACAATTATGTACATTTCATTGTCTGAATAACATATATAGTTTTTTTTGCGCATATGTCGAAGATCTTTTATGCACTTGTGGCTTAAGTGTATGATTTAAAGTAGATATGTTAAGTGAAAGGGCGAAAATATAGAAACACATATGCCACAAACGTAAACGGGCGAACAGATTTCAGGCGAAAACTTTAGAAATGCAAGCAAACATTTATGCATTTCACATTTGCGGGGAGCGATTGGATCAGAAATGAGAAGTGAGAAGTGAGAAGTGCACAATCTGTTAGTTTATGTAAATTGCGCTTCAGTTCACAGTAAAAATCCTTAACGTATCCTTCAAGGAAACTCCCAAGTTGGACAAGTGAAAGCAGAATGCAATGCAAAAATACTTACAAGCTGATTGCGTTCTAGGTGGAATGTATGGAAAGTTCTTAAATGTGCTAACAAAATGTTCACAAATAGACGAGCTGTAAAATTTACTCCGCAGTTCCATTGAACAGAAAGGGAGAGTGACGCAACAAGATTGGATAAATTCTAAAACAGGACATGCAAAACGGTGAAGAACCAATCGATCCGCAAATTTTATGCACAGTTGATTAGTCGGAACCTGAAGTAGTAGTTGAAAATTTGAAGACATTGAAATGAGTGAAAAAGTGAACCGATAAACATCTACCGATGAACCGATGACTAGAAAATTAAGTAATGCTAGATAAAAATTTTCTTTACACAATTCTGATCAAAAATGAAAGCAATTGAGATCCACGTTAACTCTTATTGAGTAGATTTCAAAAAGTTGTAAACGGAGAATAAAGAATTGCTTAATTTGATTACGACTGAAATCCATTTATCACTATAATTTAATTACAGTTTCATGCCTTACTTGATTGTAGGCATATTTTACAGCTTTACTCTCTAAGAAATATGGTGAAGTATTACAAACATCTTAGATGACAAAATGCAATCTTCTTGAAAAGAGGATTGTCTCTTTAACAATCGAAATAATTGCAGAACAAAGAAGCTAGTAGAAGGTGTTATTATTCTTGAACATTTTGTTTCATTTAATTTGGTGTTGCACTTCAAAGCACTTCTTGATGCTGCTTACCATCTCCACCCATCAGAAGACACATTGTAGCAGAGCACTGAGCAGACTCAGCGAACAGTTGTCAGCTGCAATGCGAACATGTGTTTTTAATTTGCGGTCTCATTGATGGCTCCACATGCACGTAATGCAGCGCATTTGCCTTGTGGTAATTGCACTTTGAATGGCAAACGTTCATGTGAAGCCATTATCACACAAGAGCTTGCACGACTTGAGCGTCGTTTACTTACCATAGTAGCCGGACATGTCCATTGGCACCACTTGCACCAGGCGGTAGCTTTTCACTAACTCGCGGAGGAAAAGTTGCGCCAAATAGAAGAGCAACACTAAGTGAGGATTGTCCGTAGGAATACCATCGGCCACAGCACTGCAAAGATAAAAGAAAACAGAATGATATTTCAGCACAATTTTAATATGAAATCATAAAAACTTTTTTATTGTTTTTATGAATTTTAAAATATATTTTTATTATTAACTTGAGCACACTGGAACACACTGCATCGAATGATAGGGAGATATTTGCACAGCAAATGTGAAGTGCGTAAAATGTGAAGTCATTACAAGGTCTGAAGTTTATCATGTGAAGGAGAGATTGTTAGAGAACATTTGACATTATGTGTAAAAACAAAAGAGATCAATGACGTTAACTTTTGGCAAAACCAAAGTTGACGTCATACTCTTCACACAGATAATTGTGTGAGTGTAAAGAATTAGTAAATCACTTTTTGGTTACATTGGGAATTAATGGACAAGGTGGAGTATACGTATACCATGTGAAATGTGTTAAAATCGACCGATTTCCGACAGTTATCAACAAGATTGGTCTGGATTTACAAAATACCCTTTTTCAAAATTTCAATCGTTTAATACAAAACCTGAGGGAACCAACCAACAGAACAATAGAGAAATATACCATGCAGATTAGAGATTAGACAGATAGATCTACATTTCATCGAATCCGATATTGCATTTTTGCGCAAGTGCAGGTCTACGTAATATTAATATTGCAGAAATATTTTTAAAAAGTTGTCTATGTAACCGGAATTGATTATTTAAATGCAGACATAGTTTAATTTATTAAGCATTTCTTAATTGCAGCAATTGGAGTTTTTGTAGTGGGTTCAGCTGTTATGAATATGAACTCCTCATGCATGAGTTTGTACACGAAGCCTGATATTTTTCCATAACATATTTAAGG